TGAATTTATATATATATATAATTATACTTATATATAAATCATAACATAAATACATATATATATGTAAATTTATTATTGGCAATTACTCATTGTTCAATTTTAATAATGTTATTGAGATTTGTAGATTAAATTCATGTAATGAAAACATGATCGAAAATTTTCCTACGCCACAAAATTTAATATACCAACCATAATTGTTTTTAATGATTGCAGATTATCATTTTGAATATTTAAAGACAAAATAAAAAAATAAATAAATATTAGAAATGATTTTCCTCTTCAATAATATATGTGTGACTTCTTTTTACTTTATTTATTTCATATAACAGATTTAGTCTATATAACTAAAATATCCAAATTTTGGAAATTATTAGATGCAATGTTAACGAACTAAAGAATTTTAAAGTGTCCTGATTATAGATCCTGAATTTTGTTGTGAAAATTTTTCAAAGGTTTAGAGATTTTTGTTGACAGAGTAAAAATCGAAAGTTACACATTTATTATCGAAAATTATTAATTAGTCTTGTAAAATGCTGGTATGCTACAAAATTGACAAATATGCATAATTGATAAGCATAATTTAGTATAAAATTGAGTGTAAATTTGTAAATTAAATAAAATATATCTAGAATCATATTTTTTCTTCTGGATCTGTTATTCTTAAATAACAATTTAAACGATTGATTAATTATTATATTTAAAAAGAAATATAAACTTAATATTTTCGCACATTTAAGAAACGAAGTTTATTTTTAGTTTATTTTTATTTTAGTTTATTACAGTAGTATAAGTAAATAAATCTCTTGTATCTAAATCTTTTTCTTGTTTATTCATATATTTATTTACATTTATTTATTGTATCTATTATATAATATATGTATAGCATTGGAACTCAGTAATTGCAGAAAATATATATATTCAGATATCGAATATTCAGTACATTTTTTGTGTTATAATAAAATAGTTTTTTAAATTTCTCTGCTTAGACATACCCTTATGTTTTATGAATGAATCTATTTTAATCGTCCTTTCTTAGTCGCAAATTGTTCACTTTCAAGATCTATAAAAATATATCTATATTAATATCAGCTCGATAAAAAAAGTTTATCTTTTACTAATATAATATCTGAGAAAATAATTTAGAACATAAAAGTAATATCTCTATGTTTATATATTTTATTATATATATTAATACTTGTATATCGATTAGGACATTATATATAATAATTAGCAACAATTGATTTACCTGAACTTCTTCGTTTGCGCTTATTGCAATCAACTTTCATTTTTGAACCTGTGTCATTTGTTTGCCTATTATTTATGTTTGACGATTCTGATTCGAAAGAAATAACAGTATCATAAGAATTTGATATGTCTGATTTCTTCAAACAATGTGACAACCTTTCTCGTACAGTAATAGTGCTGATTTCTTTAATATTCACTAAAAAATGAAATAAGATCAGTTACAAGAGTTTCTCAAATATTCAATAAAAATGTACAAAAATGTGTTAGTTTTTAGATATATTCCATTTTATTATTAAAAAGAAAAGTTTATAATTTTGTTTGATTAAATGTACAAAATGTAACATTTTCGTCATCCATAAAAAAATAAAAAAAGAAAATCTATTCACCTGTCTTATAAGGTATTCGTTGTTTACCAGTAGCAAAAATGCAAGATACGGTACCCACTTTTCTACGCACGATTCTGTATTTATCTTCTCCAAATTTTATCGTTTTTTCTTTTAATGACAGCAATTGACCCTGCAGATTGCACTGTAAGACCTACGAAATTTATAAATCAACATTTTAATTAATCTAAAAAAATATTTACTTCAAGACTATTATTTTATTTTTGTATAACTTAATGCTTCAGGAAACAAATTAAAATTTATTGCACAATTAGATGCTAATTAGTAATTAATTTCTTGTCTCAATTATACGAATCTGCTTTTCCTATATTTACAGGATATTAATATTAAAATTGAAGATGTTTATTGCATTGTGATAGGATTGCTTATATAATTTGTTAAAACACTAGCATTCCCATGTCTTAAAAATTGGTTTTAAGAATAAATTGGTTATTTACTTTATTTGGAACATTCAAAATAAAAGCTTCGTCATCTTCAGAAAGATCCGCCAGCGTAAAACCCGCTGGTATCGGTTCTGGAAGTAACTTTTCGTCCTCGATTAGTTGCTCTAACTGAAAATATAATAATTAAATAACACTCGTCAAATAATATTCGTTTAAGGAAGAAAATTGAGGAAAAAAGAGAGTTACTTACATTGTATGGTCTATAATGGCTAGAGATATCAAGCTGCACATTTGAACAGTTTGTCGATACTCGTTTGTTTTGTTCATGTCTAGGTTTACACCACGTTCCAAGTTCGCTGATACAATCGCTCATTCTATCTTCGCTTTTATCACAAAAATTCTCTTTGTCTAATAAAGATTTATTTCTTGAAAATTGATTTATAGATTCTTCATTAATGCACGAAATGTTATTTTCAGAAACTCTCAACTGAAAACTTTCTACATCTTCTATACTTTCATTCTGATTATCATCGTTATATACATTTCCACAATATTGTATTTCCTTTAATGAATTTTTGTTTACAGCAGATTTAGATGAGTTATTGTTTTCATATGTACAGCTCGTTAATAATATAGTTTTATCATCTTGCTTTCTTATCTCTTTTTTTATGTTTGGTGGATCTTCTTTCTCTTTTGTACGAACTGGTGTGGTTTCTTTGCTGCATATATTACTGTCTTTGCTACATAAAATATCTGTATTGATCTTTTCGCAATTAATTCCATCATTTTCCAACATATCTTTGCTACAACAGCTTGTATCAGAATCATGCTTTTTCGATGTTTCAATGGTTATATATTCATCATCACTCTGATTAGAATCACTGCTCACAACCAAGTTTAATTTTGCCTGCTGCTGAAGCCGCTTTTTAGTTTCAGGTGATATGTAATTTGCATTATCCTCTTCATTGTCAGTTTCCAATGTTATTGATACATTATTATCAGTTTCTTCTGCTTTCAATATTTCTTCTTGGGAATTAATATCATTTTTTTCAATATTTATATTATCATCTTGCTTGTTTATTATCATATACTTTTTATTGATAATTTCACTATAGGTAATTTTAGGTAACAATTGCTGCTTTTCAATATTGCAGGAGTCTTTTAGTTTCACAGAATGCGTCTTATCTTGATGATTAATTGAATAAATCTCTGTGTCCTTATCTATCTGATTCGATTGAAAGAAATTTGTTATTTCTTGTTCAAAGGATTCCCTTTTTCCATTATCTTGTTCTTTTAAAATATTATCGCAAGATTTTGAATGTACATCCTTTACCTGATCCTCCTTAGGAAATAACGATTGCTGCTTATGTATATCGGATGAGTCTTCTGATTCCGTAGAAAGCATTTTTTTATAAGAATCAATAGATTGATTCAATAAATCATTTTTATCTTTGTTATTTATCAGATAAATTTCTGCATCCTTATCAACCTCATTTAATTGAAGAGAATTTATTACTTTTCCATCAGAAGATTCTTCTTCTTTACTATCTTGTTCTTCTAAAATATTACCACAAGATTTTGTATGTACATCCTTTACCCAATCTTCCTTAGGAAATAACGATTGCTGCTTATGAAAATCGGATGAGTCTTCTGATTCTGTAGAATGCGTTTTTTTATAAGAATCAATAGATTGATTTAATAAATCATTCTTATCTTTGTTATTTATCAGATAAATTTCTGCATCCTTATCAACCTCATTTAATTGAAGGGAATTTCTTACTTTTTCATCAGAAGATTCTTCTTCTCTACTATCTTGTTCTTCTAAAATATTATCACAAGATTCTGAATGTACATCGTTTAACCGATCCTTCTTAGGAAATAACGATCGCTGCTTATGATTATCGGACGAGTCTTCTGGTTCCATAGAACGCGTTTTTTTATAAGAATCAATAGATTGATTCAATAAATCATTCTTATCTTCGTGATCTATAGGATAAATTTCTGCATCCTTATCAACTTCATTTAATTGAAGGGAATTTCTTACTTTTCCATCAGAGAACTCTTCTTCTCTACTATCTTGTTCTTTTAAAATTTTATCACAAGATTTTGAATGTACATTCTTTGCATCATTTTCCTTAAGAGATAATGATTGCAGCTTTTGAATATCTTCTGCTTTCACAAATTTCGTTTTATTTTTCTGATTCGTTAAAAAAATTTTTTTATTGATATTCTTATCAATTGGATTTAATTGGGAAGAATTTTTCTCTTTTTTGTTATTTCGTTTCTCTAAAATGTTATCATTATTTATATCCTCCTTAGAATTTTCTGAAGCGATTGTTTCGACTTTAGCAATCTTTTTTATATTAATACGTTTTTTAGATACACTATCATTACATTTTACTTGCAATAGTTTCCTCTTTGGTATGCTTATTTTCATATTCTTGATACTGTTCTCCTTTTTATGCTTAGTGTTAATCTTCCTTTTAAAGTCTTCGCAATCTTCTTCAGTGAAAATATACCTTTCAGGATCATCAATTGAATGTTTGTTCTCTATCAAAGAACTATATATAATATCATAGTCAGTATCGGATAGATTATCAGAATTATCAGTATCAATATCATCAATCACATTCCGTACGACATTAGTCTTTAATTTTACATACTGCTTGTAATCTTTCACACCACAATATTTTTTTATTTTGGCGTTGAATGCTTTTGTTCTTCTTCGTATTTTCGACGATGGCGTAAATTCATGTATCAATGAATTGTCAATCATTCTATCTTTTATATGATTGTCCTTAACAATCCAACCAATAGTCTCGTGAAAAGACATGACGTTTTATTTTATATCTAAAATAAATATAAATAAAATATTTAAAAGAAACATGTTCCTCAGCAAGTAATTTGATTGCGACGGAAACAAAGAATGGTCACATGGCCATAATAAAAGCAATAAAACAGCCTCGCTAGAAAGACGCTAATAAGCGTATTTTTTACAGAAAATATGAGGTTTTTGGAAATGATTGATTATAACTTTTAAATAAAAGTATTGTCTCTCAAAAAACGAGAAAAATCAAAAAATTGAACAACATACCATTGATGATATAAGATGCGTCCAGTTCGAATCACTGATCTCTATACGTAATTGGATATGGCATAGGGTGAAATAACCGTAACCAATTGAAGCTAGAAATTGTGGGATCTTTCTACAATATTACGTTTTTGCATAAATGCGCTTTACTTGATACTATTTTCGTTTCGAAATGTAAATTTTTTATTCACACGCCCACGCCGCTATTTTTCGTGAGACCCTTTTCCTAGCTGGTACAGTGGCGCTAACTGGATTCATTTTAGAGCCGGCGGAATTACATGGCCAGATCCAATGTTGTTCTCGGGGACAATGTTGTTCTCGGGGACGCTTTCTCGCGCATGCGCGTTAAACATGGCCTTAAGCCCGTATCAGACTACGCATTGAAAATTGAAGATTGAAGATTAAAGATTGGAATTTGACTAATCAGAACAAAAGGAACTAAAATTTCTTTGTCCTGATTGGTCAAATTTCAATCTTGAATCTTGAATCTCAATCTTCAATGCGTAGTCTGATACTGGCTTTAAGATACGTGTCAAATTTATAAGAAAAAGGGTACTGTTAAGCCCTCTGCTCAGATAATGTTAAGAATAATCTAAAATGTTTTACAAATTAATGAATCACAAATAAATAATAAAAAATTAATAAAAGACGATTATAATTAGCTTAAAAAATTTCTGGCATTAAACATATTATTGTAAGTAATGTACGTACACAAATATGTACTACATACGCCGTCGCTGGATTTCTCTACCAATGCGCTGCGCATGCGCGAGAAAGCGTCCCCGAGAACAACATTGTCCCCGAGAACAACATTGGATCTGGCCATGTAATTCCGCCGGCTCTAAAATGAATCCAGTTAGCGCCACTGTACCAGCTAGGAAAAGGGTCTCACGAAAAATAGCGGCGTGGGCGTGTGAATAAAAAATTTACATTTCGAAACGAAAATAGTATCAAGTAAAGCGCATTTATGCAAAAACGTAATATTGTAGAAAGATCCCACAATTTCTAGCTTCAATTGGTTACGGTTATT